TAATGAATGCTATTAGAAGCAAATAAAACCATTTACTAGTTTACAAAAAGGAAAAGAACCAGAACAAAAACCTAAACCACAAGATATTATAAATCAGCAAGCACAACAAATTTTACTATTTCGAAAAGAAAATGAATGATTAAGCCAGTTACTCTTCTCTTTATATTAGGATCATATACAAATAACCTAATAGCAAGAAGAAAAAAATAGACAACAAAACCAATTTTGAATACAATGCTTTGCCCAATCTGCATCTGCAGAAGAAACAGAATTTCAGAAAGAAAAATTAAATCCTCAGGAAGTCTATATTATTGGCCAATTAGAACTAGAAAAAGAGTATTTATTAACTTTAGAAGATTATGTAGAAACAGGTCAACTTACAACTGAACAAGACAAACAATTTAAGAAATTATTAGATGAATTTGCAGATTTATTTGCTAAGGATATCAATAAACTAAGAAGAACTAATATTGTAAAGCATTGAATTTATACTGAAGATATGCCTCCAATAAAATCTAGGCCTTATTCTGCATCTTCAGATAAACAAGCATTTATTAAAAAAGAAATTAAAAGGATATTAGAAAATAAGTTAATTCGGCATTCCAAAAGCTCTTGAACTTTACCTGTGGTTCTTGTCAAGAAAAAGAATAGAAAATTATAGTTCTGTATAGACTATAGAAAACTTAATAATATTACTAAAAAGGATACTTATCCTCTTTCTCGTATTGATGAAATGCTCAATGCTTTGTTGAGAGCTAAGTAATTTTCTACCTTAGATCTTACTAGTAGATACTGGCAAGTAAAAATAGACTCTAGGAATAAGGAAAAGACTGCATTTGTAACTCGTTATAGTACCTATAAGTTTAATGTTATGCTATTTGGTCTTTGCAACACACCTGCTACATTTCAAAGATTTATGAATCATGTTTAGGTTTTTGTTCTGGTTCTTTTCCTTTTTGTAAACTAGTAAATGGTTTTATTTGCTTCTAATAGCATTCATTA